GCTGCAATGAATACATTATTATTATTATTATTATTATTATTATTATTATCCTTCTGCCTCTTCACTCTGTGCTTCGTGCTTCCTTGTCACAACTTTGTGCTTCTACCATTTTATAGTCAATCTTTCTTTTTTATTATTCCATGTAAATGTTTATTTATAGATTATTTGTTATTTATAAAGTACATTTTCTTATTTAAAAACATGTAACAAAAATGGGTGGTATGGGTTTTTTTTATTTTGACATAACAATCCTCTGTTATGTCAGCTCCACTGGCTGCCGATCCAGTTCCGAACACATTTCAAAGTGCTGGTTTTGACCTACAAAACCCTATATGGCTCCGGCCCAGCGTACCTGTCCGAATGTATCTCCTTCTACGTCCCACCTCAGAGTTTAAGATCCTCTGGGGAAGCCCTGCTCTTGGCCCCGCCTCTATCACAAGTGAGGCTGGTGGGGACGAGGGACAGGGCCTTCTCGGTGGTGGCCCCTCGCCTGTGGAATTCACTCCCCGGGGAAATTAGGTCATCAACATCCCTCCTCTCCTTCAGAAGGAAGCTGAAAACATGGATATGTGTCTAAGCCTTTGGCAGACTGACAAGATAATGACGACCAGAAATTGGAAAGGACTATGGTAATGCTGAATGGACTTATGGATATCAGAACTCGGTGAACGTTGGCCACTAAATTGGCTTTTAATTGTTAGTGTTTTAATTGATTGTTTTAACTACTATGGTTATTGCTGTTATATAATTTATTTGTTGAATTGTTGGCATCGAACTGTGCCGGTTGTAAGCTGCCCTGAGTCCCCACTCGGGGGTTGAGAAGGGCGGGGTAGAAGTGCCCGAAATAAATAATAAATAAAATAAATAGTATAAAACTGATAAAATAGAAGGTGTGCAGGCAGCTAAATATCTTTTGATCAAAAATGGGCAACAGCATTGTCTGTAACCTCCAACAATTCCTCCTCTGTACATGAGGCAGGGCACAATGGACAAGCCTCATTTGTTCTGTTCTGCTTCACAGTCACACAAGGTATGGGTAGTGACATTTTTAGGTAGTGACATTTTGCCAGGATTTTATTTTAGGTAGTGACATTTTGCCAGGATGTCTTTTGATCTGCCCACTCCGCTTCTGAGTCTTTGGTTTGCAACATTTACATTTTCTTCAATCAGACAAGGGATCTTTCCCCACCCTGGACAGTCCACAGATACATACATATACATATATGGATGGATGGCAGGCAGGGGAATGAGGTGGGCGTGGCTACATCCAGCTCTTCTTGATGGCCACTGGGGGCGTGGCCTTCAGGAAGAACTGGGCATAACCACGCCCACCTCGCCCTTCCGCATTGCCACTTGTCGCCAGAGAGGCCAGGGAAACTGCGAGATTGTAAAATTTGCACCAGACATACGAAAATAATTCCGAAAAATGGGTAAATTGTTTCAATTCGTAATTACTCCTCACACTATTCCAGCATGGCTCGAAATTGTTTCAAAAGTCATTTAAATACGAATTCATTCCGATTTTAGAAACTTCTGAACCAGATCAACCTAGCCTTGTTGTTATGTCTTGGTTTCTTGAACTGAATGCCCCAGAAACTTTTTGGCTGGGGTACCACCTGGCTTAAGCTTAAGTGGTAGGATTTATTTTTTTTCCAGCAGAAGCTGCTACCGTAATGGAGTTCTGTTGTAGTCACATTTAAAGATGTAAAATCTTGGCCAGTAGTCTATAAACAAGTGCTTTGAATTAAAGGATGGTGGAAAAACATTTTGTCCACGTCTGTCACAACAGCAAATATTGGATTTCATTATCTTCTACGTCACACTTGACACTAATAAACCACACTGCGTAAACATAAGCCAAGGCACTATTTTGTAATGGTATTGCCAAGGTAATGGCAAAAATTTATTTTGGTTTTGGCATTATTTCTGTTGTATTCTTTCTTTTATGATCTTTCATTGTTGCATTTGGTAACCATTTGGAAAATGTCTTTAAACATATTTCAGGGATTTCAGCTGGTTATGAATCTTTTGCCATCTTCAGATGGGGATTTCAAATAGAGATATAAACAAAATAAGGGCGGAATAATGAAGCTGTTTCTGAATTGGTGGAACTTTATCTTTCAACATTGCATTGCGGTAGGTGGTAATGATAAATGGCAATATTTTGGGAATTGGGAGGGGTTCATGATGTTTAAGTTGATGCCTTCACCACAAATTTACATAGAAAAGGGCTGATGACTTTTGACTCCAGTTTAAAACTGATAAAAATAGAAGGAGCGCAGGTGGCTAAATATCTTTTGACCAAAAATGGGCAACAGCAATGGCATTGTCTGTAGCCTCCAACAATTCTCCCTTGTTACAAGAGGCAGGGCATAGTGGACAAGCATACAGATGCAGAGTTGTCTGTTCTGCTCCACAGCCATATAAGGTGTGGGATTCTTTTAGGTAGTGCCATTTGCCAGGTTGTCTTTTGATCTTCCCACTCCACTTCCGAGTCTGTTCAGGGACTTCCAAGTTACCCATTCTTGGTTTGCCCCTGGAGGAAGACCCTCGTGGGGGGCCATCCAGTTCTGGTTTCCTGGTCTAGCTGCCCAGAGGGATACCCTTGCGGTTGCTGGGGGGACGCCAAGAGGAGTGGTAGTTCTCATAAAGCTTTTCCTTGATTTGAGTCTACTTGGAGGAGGCTGGTAGCCATGTAGTGGATGGCTCTCACACTGTTCAACCTTATATCTCTCACATTTAGCAGCAACTTCCCGTCACACATCGGGGGGGGGGGGGGGAATGCCAGCTACCTTGTAGAGTTTATCAACAGGTGTAGGTTTAAGACATCCTGTGATTATTCTGCATGTTTCATTCAATGCCATGTTCACCTGCTTTGCATGGGCAGACCTATGCCAAACAGGGCAGGCATACTAGGCAGTTGAGTAAGACAAGGCTAGGGCTGGTGTTCTTACTAATTTTGGGGACACGGAAAGAGCCACTTCGAAGATTGAGTAAATACAGTTGGGCGTCCCCCGGGCAATGTTTCTTGTAAATGGATAATCTTTCCAAACTCAAAAGCATTGCTTTTAAACATCTGAAACGTTTTAAATTGGAGGTGTGTCTTTTTTCCCCTCCACATATGGATGAACACCAAAGACCATTGCTAACTATTGTGTCTATTAATACTGCGGAAATTTCATGTCTTCTTGGCAATGCTATATGTATGGAATATGATTAAATACTAGAGCTCAAAATGGCCAAGGACCTTTATATCTTAGGGACCGCCTCATTCCTTTTCTCCATCAGTGGTCACCTCGATCCACCCAGGAAAATCTCCTATACATACCGGGCCCTAGGGAGGTACACCTGGAAGCTACAAGGCGTAGAGCTTTTTCGACCTATGCTCCAATTCTGTGGAACTCATTGCCTCCATACATTAGAGCAATGTCGGAGTTGCGACCTTTTGTAAAGGCACTCAAGACTTGGCTGTTTGGTTGTGCATTTAAGTAATCAGATCTAATTTGCCAAATAGTCACTGCTGAATGTTTTTATGTTGAATGTTTTTATATTGTGTAAATGCTAGTTTAGATTGTAAGTCGCTCGGAGCACCTTGGTGGAGAGTGACTAATTAAGAAATAAAGTGAAGTGAAGTGAAGTTGTATGACATAGCATTGTTTTTGTTGTTGTTGTTATTATTATTAGTAGTATTAGCCGTCTCCTGCCACGTGTTGCTGTGACCCAGTCTGGTGATCTGGAATTTATTTATTTTTTCTACTGTGCCACCGGAGCCCCCAGTGGCGCAGTGGGTTAAACCCCTGTGCTGGCAGGACTGAAGACCAACAGGTCGCAGGTTCGAATCCGGGGAGAGGCGGATGAGCTCCTCATGCGGGGACATGAGAGAAGCCTCCCACAAGGATGATAAAAACATCAAATCATCCAGGCGTCCCCTGGGCAACGTCCTTGCAGACGGCCAATTCTCTCACACCAGGAGTCACTCCTGACACGACAAAAAAATAAATCTGGAAATAAAATAATGAGAAAGTTTTGGTTTCTAATATATGTAATTTCTTTATGCTTGTGGGTAAACAGTATTTCTTGTTGTCTTTTTTATTTATATAGATTGCTACTATATAATTAGTGTACTACTACAGTAGTATTAGTATTGATGGAGCCCCTGGTGGTGCAGTGGGTTAACCCCCCCTTTTTTTGTAGTGTCAGGAGCGATTTGAGAAACTGCAAGTTGCTTCTGGTGTGAGAGAATTGGCCATCTGCAAGGACGTTGCCCAAGGGACGCCCGGATGTATTGATGTTTTTATCATCCTTGTGGGAGGCTTCTCTCATGTCCCCGCATGAGGAGCTGGAGCTGATAGAGGGAGCTCATCCGCCTCTCCCCGGATTCGAACCTGCGACCTGTCGGTCTTCAGTCCTGCGGCACAGGGGTTTAGAGCCCCCAGTGGCGCAGTGGGTTAAACCCCTGTGCCAGCAGGACTGAAGACCCGACAGGTCACAGGTTCGAATCCGGGGAGAGGCGGATGAGCTCCCTCTATCAGCTCCAGCTCCTCATGCGGGGACATGAGAGAAGCCTCCCACAAGGATGATAAAACATCAAATCATCTGGACGTCCCCTGGGCAAAGTCCTTGTAGACAGCTAATTCTCTCACACGAGAAGCAACTTGCAGTTTCTCAAATCGCTCCTGACACGACAAAAAAAAAGTATTGATTACATTTTGGAAACAAAAATCCTAAAAGTATTTTATTTCTAACTAAATTAGTTTAAAATATTTAAAACTTAAAAAAAAAACTTTTATTTAAACATCTAACTTGCAAAACTAACACCCTGGGAGGGAGAAGGGGGAAAACAGTTGAGTTTAGCTCTTTATAAGAATATGAACCCAGACAGCACTATTATTTTTTAAAGGATTGTGCAAACTACAAACCCCGTGGAGCTTTGCAACTGTAAACAGTGTTTGTCAGTTGCTTCCACCAATCACAGCAGGCCAATCCAGGGGTGTAACTGGGGAGGGTCGGGTGACATTCGTGTATAAAGCCAGCCGCAGAAAAATCTCAGCATCATTGCCTGATATCTGTTGTCTCGTACTTGTTTTAAAATAGCCTTTGGCTGTGCAATTACTATCTGTAGGCTCCTTACCTTTCACATTTAAGAGAACAGAAACAGGTGGAAACAAATGGATGCGATTTTGAACTGCAGACTGGAGGAAATGGAAGATTACTACAGCTTGTTAGGCTGTGATGAATTGTCCACAGTAAGAGTTGTTCTTTCTTTTAAGCCTTTATTGATTTCTCCGGTGTGTGTCTGTGTGAAAGTGATAGGTTTTTTCCTGGTCTTTCACATCATTTTGCCATTCTTTGCATATTGATTGTAGTCGCAGATATGTTGTCTTACACAGTTTTTTGGACTTATTATCTGACATAATAACCCCTTCAAAGTTAATTGTATGCACATAGTAATGATCTGACATATGTTTATCGGATTATGCTGTTTTGTGAGCTTGAAGGAGTTCTGAATATAAATTTTGGAATTTGCTGTCAAGTTAATCATTTGGAAAGGTAAAATAAATATATCAATTGAAGAATGGTATAAAGAACTATGGAAAATAGCAATAAATGATAAATTGACATGTAGGTTAAGAGACAGGAAAGGGGTATGGAAGGAAAACGACTTTGATGAAATTTGGGGAAAATTGGGTTGTTGTAGGTTTTTCCGGGTTATATGGCCATGTTCTAGAGGCATTTTCTCCTGACGTTTCGCCTGCATCTATGGCAAGCATCCTCAGAGGTAGTGAGGATGCTTGCCATAGATGCAGGCGAAACGTCAGGAGAAAATACCTCTAGAACATGGCCATATAGCCAGGAAAAACCTACAACAACCCAGTATATGTATATGTCGAATAATAATAGTATTTTTAGCTAACAAATCCTGAGATCTCGCTTTTTGTGGTTATTAGTGATATAGTCGAAGTTAGTTTGTCCATTTCAACCCTTTCACAGTTTAATGAAGGAACATTTGCAAAGAAGTATTACTGACAATAAATCCCCAGGTGCTTTTCCTCCCTAGTGAATGTATAGAGCTGAAGGACTTTGCCTTTGACTTTGCCTCCTTGAATATTTCTATTTTTAAGGTAGTAGTTTCACTACCTCTGAGGATGCTTGCCATAGATGCAGGCGAAACGTCAGGAGAAAATGACTCTAGAACATGGCCATATAACCCGGAAAAACCTACAACAACCCAGTGATTCCGGCCATGAAAGCCTTCGACAATACATTTGGGGAAAATTTATTGAGAATTAGGAAAATTTATTGAGAAGTAGATGGGAAATTACCTACAAGAAGAAATGGTATTTTGGAAAGAGAATGTAAATTGAAGTGGCTCGGAGGGCGGGGGGGGGGGGGGCACAGAGGTGAAAAAAATGTATACAAGATATATATACACTTACTAGCGGTCCCCTGCCCCGCGTTGCTGTGGCCCAGTCTGGTGATCTGGAAAATAATGAGAAAGTGTTGGTTTCTAATATATCTAATGTCTTTATGCTTGTGGGTAAACAGTATTTCTTGCTGTTTCTTTGCCAGTGTTGATGTGGAGATTATCTGGGTTGCCTAGTCTGGAACATGCAGCATATCATTGTCCTTCTTTAGGGCTGCCTTTCAAATCCTTTGTTAGGAGGACTTTGATTCTGTTTTCTTGCCCTGGTGAAGGGAGTTGGACTGGATGGCCTTAAGGCAGCATTTCTCAACCTGGGAAGTCAAGACCTCGGGGGGGGGGGTCATCAGGGGGGTATCAGAAGGGTCACTAAAGACCACCAGAAAACACAGTATTTTCTGTTGGTCATGGGGGTTCTGTGTGGGAAGTTTGCCCCAATTCCGTCGTTGGTGGGGTTTGGAATGCTCTTTGATTGTAGGTGAACTATACATCCTAGGAACGACAACTCCCAAATGTCAAGGTCTATTTCCCCCAAACTCCATCTGTGTTTATATTTTGGCATATTGAGTATTCGTGCCAAGTTAGGTCCAGATCCATTATTGTTTGAGTCCACAGTGTTCTCTAGATGTAGGTGAACTACAACTCCAAAACTCAAGGTCAATGCCCAGTAAATCCTTCCAGTATTTTCTCTTCGTCATGGGAGTTGTGTGTGCCAAGTTTGGTTCAATTCCATCATTGGTGGAGTTCACATTGCTCTTTGATTATAAGTGAACTATAAATCCCAGCAACTACAACCCCCAAATGACAATATCATAATTTTTTGAGTGATGGCCACTCCTTGTGTTGTGAGACCTTTTGTTGCCAAATTTGGTCTGATTTCGTTCATTGGTTCTTTTGTTTTTAAGGTACTCATTACGCACAAAGCATTTATATATATATAGACTAGCTATCCCCTACCACGCGTTGCTGTGGCCCAGTCTTGTGATCTGGAAAATAAAGTAATGAGAAAGTGTTGGTTTCTAATATATGTGATATATATCTTTATGCTTGTGGGTAAACAGTATTTGATTAAGTTTTCTTGCCCTGGTGAAGGGAGTTGGACTGGATGGACTTAAGTATTTTCTGTTGGTCTTGGGAGTTCTGTGTGGGAAGTTTGCCCCAATTCAGTTGTTGGTGGAGTTCAGAATGCTCTTTGATTGTAGGTGAACTATAAATCCCAGCAACTAGTACTCCTAATTGTCAAGGTCTATTTCCCCCAAACAGTCCAAACTCCATGTATGCTCATATTTGGGCATATGGAATATTCGTGCCAAGTTTGGTCCAGATCCATTATTGTTTGAGTCCAGATATAAGTCCTTCGCCCGAAGCCATATAGATCTTATATGTAATTTGATGAAACACTGAAACAATGGTTGGGAAATTAATATACAATCAGTTTTACATCTGTTCAACTATAAAAACCACTTTCTCTGGGATACAGAAACAAAGAGCACCAGGTGTTTCCTATGTTATATAATAAAAATATTGGTAAATGCTTTTTTAATTAGCTTGCCATTGTGCTTTCTCTGCATCTTCTACATTCTGATCACTAATTAAACTGGAATCCTTCCACCAATTAAAAAAAAAGTTAATCATAACATTAAGCTATGCATGATCATTTGGAAGTGCTAGATGGAGACATTCCGTATGCAAGGTGCTGAAAACCATATCTACAACATACATTAAAGGAGTATTTCAGATTGTACATGTTTATGGGCATACAATAACATGGTGCTGTAAAATAAATAAATGCTGGTACATGCAGAGGCGGCCCTAGGTAATTTTCAACGGTAAGCAAACAGTATTTTGGCGCCCCTCCCCAAACCAATCACTGATATATATTTTCTGTTTGTCGTGGGAGTTCTGTGTGCCAAGTTTGGTTCAATTCCATCATTGGTGGAGTTCAGAATGCTCTTTGATTGTAGGTGAACTATACATCCCAGTAATAACTCGCATATGTCAAGGTCTATTTTCCCCCAAGAGCACCCCAAGAGTGCCCCTGGGCAAAATCAACTATACTGCAAATGCTTACTTTGCATAATGGGTTGAGCCGCCCCTGGGTACATGAAATGGACCGACAATTCAATGAGCTTCACTTGTGCCATCAAATAAACATTACTCCCCTCCCTCAATAGACGGTATTGTATTTAAAAAGTGGCATGTGAAAGAGTTCTTTTTTGTGTTTTCATTATTACCATAGTATTCATATTTGTATTGATGTGCAGTTTGTATGTGTGTCTAGGTTGAACAAATTGCTGCAGAATTTAAGGTGAGAGCACGTGAGTGCCATCCAGACAAGCATCCTGCAAACCCACAAGCTGGTACGTGACCATCCTCATTTCTTTTCTAAAAATTCAACAGATTGTATTATATGGAGTGTCCGGATTTTGGGGGTGTTTAGGCAACATATCCTTTCTTAATCTGGAAGAGGAGTGAATGAGGATTTCCATTCTGCTGCCACTTCTCTTCCCCTCAGAGTGGCATTCACTTGTCTACAATCTCCATCTATGTGTTATTACCAAAAGGAGAGAAAGGTTGAACTGAATAGTCCAAAGATTCAGGATTTTGATTTTTTGGCTTTCAGTATGAAATGGTCAAAAGCTGTGATGGGAGACTGTGCATGTGGCAATTTGAACATATACTAAGTTTTCTTTTTCTACATATGCTAGATCAACACTTCTCAACCTAGGGCCGGGACTCCTGGGGGGGTCGCAAGGGGGTGTGAGAGGGGTCGCCAAAGACTATCAGAAAACACAGTATTTCTGATTTATTTATTTATTTATGTACAGCTTTTATATTCCGCCCTTCTCACCCCGCAGGGGATTCAGGGGATGTGTACATACAGTGTACACATATATGGCAAACATTCAATTTTTGACATACAAACATATACAGACATACACAGAGGCTATTTAACTTTTTCTGGCCGCCAGGGGAGCTGTTGCTTTCATCGTTCATCTGCGACGCTGATGAAGCACTTCCGCATTCCCCGCATGCTTCCCCGCTGGAATGCTTTGCTAGAGTCTTCTTTATGGCCTCATAAATCAGTTAATTTAGCCTCCCCATACTTTAAGGTGGTACCTTATTTTCCTACTTGACAGATGCAACTGTCTTTCGGGTTGCAAAGGTCAACAACAGGCTACACACAATTGGTTGGAAACCCACTCCAACCTGGGATGGCTTCGAACTCATGACCTTTGGGTCAGAGTAATCTTAATGCAGCTGACACTCAGCCAGCTGCGCTACAATCCTGGTGCTTTGATGGTTATGGTGATGGTTATGGTGATTTTTTGTGGGAAGTGTGGCCCAGTTCTATCATTGGTGGGGTTCAGAATGCTCTTTGATTGTAGGTGAACTATAAATCCCAGCAACTAGAACTCCCAAATGTCAATGTCTATTTTCCCCAAACCCCACCAAATGTTCACATTTGGGCATATTGAGTATTCATGTCAAGTTTGGTCCAGATCCATCATTGTTTGAGTCCATTGCTGTCCGGATGTAGGTGAACTACCACTCCAGAACACAAGGTCAATGCCCACCAAACCCTTCCAGTATTTTCTGTTGGTCATGGGAGTTCTGTGTGTCAAGTTTGGTTCAATTCCATTGTTGGTCTAGTTCAGAACGCTCTTTGATTGTAGGTTAACTATAAATCCCAGCAACTCAAACTCCCAAATGACAAAATCAATCCCCCACAACCCCAACAGTATTCAAATCTGGGTGTACCATGTATTTGTGCAAAATTTCATCCAGTGAATGAGAATACATCCTGCATATCAGATATTTACATTACGATTCATAGCAGTAGCAAAATTACAGTTATGAAGTAGCAATGAAAATAATTTTATGGTTGGGGTTCACCACAACATGAGGAACTGTACTAAGGGGTAGCGGCATTAGGAAGGTTGAGAAGCACTGTGCTAGATAATCATCCCCGCTAATCTGGTTTGAATCTAAGTTATTGTGGGATTCAAAATTTTGAATTTTCTCCAAAGAAAAATGCTGGAGGGGTATGTTGGAGAGGCAGTGGGGTTTCCCTTGTCTCTCAGAGTTCCTCTCCAAAATTGTGTTTCTTTCCCCATGAGAAATTCATTTAGTCTCTGTTAACACACATACATGTGTAACATGTAGCAAATTAAAGAGAACCACAGGAGCCAACAACAAAACTGAGATTTATGTAACTAAGACTGAGTAATGTGTGTTCACTAGGTTCTTGTGGGTTTTTTCGGGCTATAGAGCCATGTTCTAGAGGCATTTCTCCTGACGTTTTGCATGCATCTATGGCAAGCATCCTCAGAGGTAGTGAGGATGCTTGCCATAGATGCAGGCGAAACGTCAGGAGAAATGCCTCTAGAACATGGCTCTATAGCCCGAAAAAAACCCACAAGAACCTAGTGATTCCAGCCATGAAAGCCTTCGACAATACAATGTGTGTTCAACCTACAAAACCTAGTTCAAGTTTGTGTATGTGTTTTACTTAATATGATTTATAGCAGTGAGCTCTTTCTGTTCAGGAGTTATTAGAAGCCAAATTATTTCCTGTTCAAATGTTATTAGATTGCCAAATAGGTAGGAGATGAAACACAACTAGAAAATTAACCTGTAACGTGTTTGGTAGATGTTCGTTAATCCTGACAGCTTTTGAATTCAGTGATTTCTATTTTAGTAAATGGGAATACATGAATCATCATCATCAACATCATCTCCAGCATCAGAAAGGTGACTCACAGATAACGTATATCTTTTCATAACCTTTACACAGATGGGTTACTAAGGATGTGAGCTTGTGTTTCTATTATAGTAGGGAAATTTTGTATTTACACTGGAGATGATATACTGTAGTACATCTAAAAGAGTTTCCTCCAGGGCTTGCTTGTTGATTATCTGATATGAATGACTTTTGGCTGGCCAGGCTACTACGTATAATGCAATTGGAACTATTTCCCCCATTCCCTTTATAGCAGAAAAGGTTGTCCTTTGTTGACTTAGCCAATTTTACCTCCTCATGGCTGCATTTGAAATCCCGAAAACCCATCAGATTAATTTCTCTTAAGCTTAGTACACATGATGCCATGGCATTTACCCACATAAAAAGTCAAACATTGTTTTTGTAAAAAATGGAGGAAAGAAGGATTTGGTAATTGTTATTTTCTCCCTTTCATTTGGCTCAGTTGTGATTACCGCATGAAGAAACTGTCACAGTATATTAAGTAAATCTTGAAGTCTGTTATAGATTGTCCTTATATGGAGCTACATTTTCTTTGGGTTGTTGTAGGTTTTTTCGGGCTATATGGCCATGGTCTAGAGGCATTCTCTCCCGACGTTTCGCCTGCATCTATGGCAAGCACCTCTGGGGATGCTTGCCATAGATGCAGGCGAAACGTCAGGAGAGAATGCCTCTAGACCATGGCCATATAGCCCAAAAAAACCTACAACAACCCAGTGATTCCGGCCATGAAAGCCTTCGACAATACATTTTCTTTGTTTTTGTGTTATTTATTTATTTATTTATTGTATCAAAAGCATTGCATACATTCGTATAAAACTGATACAATTAGAAGAAGCGCAGGTGGCTAAACATCCTTTGACCAAAAACAGGCAACAGCAACGGCATTGTCTGTAGCCTCCAACAACTCTTCCTCTGTACATGAGGCAGGGCATAGTGGACAGATGCGGAGTTGTCTGATCTGCTCTACAGTCACACAAGCTGTAGGATGCTTTTAGGTATTGCCATTTTGCCAGGTTGTCTTTTGATCTGCCCACTCCACTTCTGAGTCTGTTCAGGGACTTCCAAGTTGCCCATTCTTGGTTTGCCCCTGGAGGAAGACCCTTGTGGGGGGACATCCAGTTGGGATTTCCTGGTTTAGCTGCCCAGAGGGATACCCTTGCGGTTGCTGGGGGGACGCCAAGAGGAGTGATAGTTCTCATAAAGCTTTTCCTTGATTTGAGTCTACTTGGAAGAGGCTGGTAGCCATGTAGCGGATGGCTCTCACACTGTTCAACCTTATATCTCTCACATTTAGCAGCAACTTCCCGTCGCACATCGGGGGGGGGGGGGGGGCAATGCCAGCTAGATTGTAGAGTTTAGCAACAGGTGTAGGTTTAAGACATCCTGTGATTATTCTGCATGTTTCATTCAATGCTATGTTCACCTGCTTTGCATGTTTTTGTGTTAATACTTATTTTTTGGGAATTGATACGTGTTCTCTCATTATTCTGGATAAATATTTTGCACCCTTCCTTTTTAGGCTTGTTTTTTTGGGCCTAGTACTCCCATTATGATTGTTATCCTGTGCATTATTACTTGGGAACCAGTCTTATTGACTGCAGTGAGACTGACCTCTGTGTAAAGATGCGTAAGAGTGAACTGCAAGATTTGAGACTGAAGAGTTGAACATGATATTTGAGAGAAAGAGCGAGAAAATGAGAGCACACTTTCCTTACTGTACATGTGTTCATTTTTCACTGTTGTCACCCTTTTCAAATTTTGGAAACTATATAATACTAGCTTGCTAAATCAAGTTGTTTATATATACAGGGTGGACTGCGAGAAGATCCAACCAGTCCATCCTCCAGGAAATAAAGCCCGGCTGCTCATTGGAGGGAAGGATACTAGAGACAAAGTTGAAATACTTTGGCCACATCATGAGGAGACAGCAAAGCCTAGAGAAGACAATGATGCTGGGGAAAGTGGAAGGCAAAAGGAAGAGGGGCCGACCAAGGGCAAGATGGATGGATGGCATCCTTGAAGTGACTGGACTGACCTTGAAGGAGCTGGGGGTGGTGACGGCCGACAGGGAGCTCTGGCGTGGACTGGTCCATGAAGTCACGAAGAGTCGGAGACGACTGAACGAATGAACAACAAAAAGCTTGTCAATGCTTGCCGATCATGCTGGATATATATTACCTCCAATATCAGTGGTAATATATCTTTCAGTACGAGTTGTGGTATTAATATTGACCACTGTGGAAACAAATTTGTGAACATCCTGCGGCTCCTCTATGATGACATGATGGCAACAGTCTTGGACAGCAATGGCTCCCAAAGTGACCCATTTAAGGTGGAATCAGGTGTCAAACAGGGATGTGTTATTGCCCCAACTTTATTTTCCATCTTCATCGCTATGATACTTCATCTTGTTGATGGGAAGCTTCCCACCGGAGTGGAAATCATCTATCAGACAGATGGCAAGCTGTTTAACCTCAGCAAACTGAAAACCAAAACCAAGGTTACAACATTGGTTATAGAACTCCAGTATGCTGATGACAACGTCATCTGTGCGCATTCAGAAGATGATCTACAAGGCACTCTAAACACCTTCGCAGAAGCATACGAGAAGCTTGGCCTGTCATTGAACATCGAGAAAACCAAAGTGCTCTTCCAGCATTTACCAGCCAAACCCTCCCCAATGTCTGAGATACAGCTTAATGGTGTAACATTAGAAAATGTTGACCATTTCTGCTACCTTGGCAGCCACCTCTCCACCAAAGTCAACATCGACACCGAAATACAACACCGCCTGAGCTCTGTGAGTGCAGCATTTTCCCGAATGAAGCAGAGAGTGTTTGAGGACCGGGACATCCGTAGGGATACCAAGGTGCTTGTTTATAAAGCTATTGTCCTCCCAACCCTGCTATATGCCTGTGAAACGTGGACTGTCTACAGACGTCACATGCAACTCCTGGAACGATTCCATCAGCACTGCCTCCGGAAAATCCTGCAAATCTCTTGGGAAGACAGGCACAACTGTCAGCATGCTGGAAGAAGCAAAGACCACCAGCATTGAAGCAATGGTTCTCTGCCATCAACTCTGCTGGACCAGCCACGTTGTCCGGATGCCCGACCACCGTCTCCCAAAGCAGTTGCTCTACTCCGAACTTAAGAACGGAAAACAGAATGTTGGTGGACAGGAAAAGAGATTTAAAGATGGGCTCAAAGCCAACCTTAAAAACTCTGGCATAGACACTGAGGACTGGGAAGCCCTGGCCCTTGAGCACTCCAGCTGGAGGTCAGCTGTGACCAGCAGTGCTGCAGAATTTGAAGAGGCACGAATGGAGGGAATGTGTCCAGAGGAGGGCGACTAAAATGATCAAGGGTCTGGAGAACAAGCCCTATGAGGAACGGCTTAGGGAACTGGGCATGTTTAGCCTGAAGAAGAGAAGGCTGAGAGGAGATATGATAGCCATGTATAAATATGTGAGAGGAAGCCACAGGGAGGAGGGAGCAAGCTTGTTTTCTGCTTCCCTGGAGACTAGGATGCGGAACAATGGCTTCAAACTACAAGAGAGGAGATTCCATCTGAACATGAGGAAAAACTTCCTGACTGTGAGAGCCGTTCAGCAGTGGAACTCTCTGCCCCGGAGTGTGGTGGAGGCTCCTTCTTTGGAAGCTTTTAAGCAGAGGCTGGATGGCCATTTGTGAGGGGTGATTTGAATGCAATATTCCTGCTTCTTGGCAGGGGGTTGGACTGGATGGCCCATGAGGTCTCTTCCAACTCTTTGATTCTATGATTCTATGAGGACGAAAAAGAGAAACGTGCCAAGAGGAAGGTGCGTCAAGCCAACCCCGACCGAGACCGCCTTCCACCTGGAAACCAATGCCCTCACTGCGGGAGAAGATGAAGATCAAGAATAGGGCTCCATAGTCACCTACGGACCCACCAGAACACTAATCCTGGAAGACTATCCTACTCGGCCAACTAGGGATCGCCTAAGTAAGTAAGTATCTAGATCATACATATGCAGGAGTTTCATTCTGCTTTAGCCATCTTCTCCCCATTTTAGAAAAGCCCCATATCTTTAGTTTGTTTGACGTAACTAGAATGTAATGATGGCAAATTCCATCAAATCCCCTTGGAATATAACACTAGAGCTTCTAATAAAGATTTTTTTTCTCAGATTACAAATCCCAGGATTTCCTCGGTGTGTCAAAGTGTTTATAGTTATATAGAATACGTATATCCCAGGGTTCTTCATATGTTCTTATATAATGTAATATGCCAGCATGTTGTAGAGTGTTATGAGAGTTGGGCCAGGACTCCACTGGTCAGGGCTCAAATCTCTGCTTCATGAACGGGTGGCCCTGGACAAGTCACTCTTTCACAGGTCTAAATGAAGGCAAAGGTCAATCTTCTTTGAACAAATTTTGAAAATAAAACCCTGTGACGGGTATGGAAAATAACTTGAATGCGCACAGCAACAAATGCAAGTAACAAATCTTTCTCAAACGTTTCTAACCCTCAAATGCTTCTAACCCTGCAAGTGAAATATTTCTCTTGTTATGTTTTGGAACATTTCTGTTTGTTTTTAAAGCTAGAAAAATAAGATCTCTGTGTGTCTGTTTCAGATTAATATTGATGTGGCTTGGGTTTGGCACTTAAGATGGCAAAGGAGGAAACCAAATCCACTTCTTCACTCTTTATATTAAACTGTCTTGCTGAAATAAATCAAAAGCAGCAAACAATGTTGATTATTCAAAGTCCTAGAAGGAATTAATCTAATTTAAACCTTTCTTCTGTGTCTGGTTTGCAGTGGAAAATTTTCAGAAGCTGCAGCAAGCCAAAGAAATTTTGACCAACGAAGACAGCCGAGCCCGTTACGATTACTGGCGGAGAAGCAAAATCACCATCCCATTCCAGCAGTGGGAGGCTCTGAGCAACTCCATCAAAACAGTTAGTTTTGCTTTATGCAACTATATTTCCTGGGGAATGCCTGTTTGTATGAAAGGGGAATTATGTTAGGCCTTTAGAATTTACTATGGTTTGGTTCCTGGACTTCCTCTGGATACCACAATCTGTGGATGCTCAAATCCAGTTATATACAGTGACATAGTAAAATGAAGCTCCTAATATAAAATGGCAAAATCAAGATTTCCTTTTTGGATTTCATTTTTTTCAAGCCATAGGTAATGGAATCAGTGGCTGCAGAATCCATGGATGTGATGGGACAACCTTACTGCAGATTATCTATCTTAATGCTATCTACATCATTGTCCCAGTTCTACACTGCCATATAATCCAGAATATCAAAGCGGATGATCCACATTATCTGCTTTGAACTGGATTATCTGAGGGCACCACCAGACAGGGCTTAAACCCATGTTGAAGTGGGTTTAAGAAACCATCTTTGGTGTGGGTTTAAGTCCCCATGCTACCCCACAAAAATGGTCTTTCCCGATGGGGTGCCCCATGCCACCTCCCCCCCCCCAAGCTCTTACAAGAATAAATAACTCACTGGACTGCCATTAAAGTACTGCTGGAGTCCTCCTGGTGTGTAGAAATGATGGGACAGGAGATGCTTTTGCTCCTGCCTCCCCCGTCTCCTTTCTATGCACTGGGAGGACTCCAGCAGTACCTTAATGGCAGCCCAGTAAGTTATTTATCCTTTTAAAGTCTTTTGGAGGAGGTTTGGGGAGAAGATGGGTACCATCTTGCTCTTCCGGGCTTTTGGAAGCCTGGAGAAGCGAGATGGGAAATGGGGACAGGTAGTTCCAGATAGTCCAGGAACTGGGTTGTTGTAGGTTTTTTCAGGCTATATGGCCATGGTCTAGAGGCATTTTCTCCTGATGTTTCGCCTGCATCTATGGCAAGCATCCTCAGAGGTAGTCGCCTCCAGGGGCGGCTCAACCCATTACGTACAGTAAGCATTTGCAGTATAGTTGATTTTGCCCAGGGGTGCTCTTGGGGGAAAATAGACCTTGACATATGCGAGTTGTAGTCACTGGGATGTAGAGTTCACCTACAATCAAAGAGCATTCTGAACTCCACCAATGATGGAATTGAACCAAATATGGCACACAGAACTCCCACGACGAACAGAAAATATATATCAGTGATTGGTTTTGGGGGGGGGGGGCGCAAAATACTATTTGCTTACCGTTGAAAATTACCTAGGGCCACCTCTGGTCGCCTCACTACCTTTAATCCACTTACTTGCATTCTTGTGATCAATTGTAGATTCCTGCAGGATAGGGAGTTGGGCTTGGCGGCACTCGTGGTTGTTTCCAGCTCTGTGATTCTGTGAACTCTCCTTATAATATTGGCAGGGGGAGGGGAGGTGGATGTATCTCATTAAACACTTGGGTAAGATGTCAATTAGAAATGGCAGAAGCTTCTAAAACTAGGAAAGCAACACTCATTCATTTCAAAAAGTTTGAGGGGACAGGGAAGAGAAGAAAAACGATGAAGCAGCAGACCACACACAGGAAGTAAAATCAGTACAAGTTCTCCAAATATAAAAAATTGAATTCCTGATCTGTTAATTCCAAGGAGAGAGGAGAATGAAAGTGGAATGCACAGCTCATATAGCACAACGATGATATCTTGACATAGATGGCTTGCTAGGACCAGTGGAAAGAAGTCCCATTTGTGTATTTGGTCCTTATTTATTTATCGTATCAGGAGCAAGCCAAACAGTTGCATTGCATTTTAAACAAACAAAGAAAGAAACAAACCACAAAGTTTGCAAGCTTGGTAGTTGATTAAATGTCCTTTGACCAGTAGCTGGCCACTTGGAGTGCCTCTGGTGTTACTATAAGAAGGTCCTCCATTGTGCATGTAGCAGGGCTCAGCTTGCATTGCAGCAGATGGTCTGTAGTTTGCTCTTCTCCACATTCACATGTCGTGGACTCCACTTTGTAGCCCCATTTCTTAACGTTGGCTCTGCATCTCATGGTGCCAGAGCGCAGTCTGTTCAGCACCTTCCAAGTTGCCCAGTCCTCTGTGTGCCCAGCGGGGAGTCTCTCTGCCCCGGAGTGTGGTGGAAGCTCCTTCTTTGGAAGCTTTCAAACAGAGGCTGGATGGCCATCTGTCAGGGGTGATTTGAATGCAATATTCCTGCTTCTTGGCAGGGGGTTGGACTGGATGGCCCATGAGGTCTCTTCCAACTCTTTGATTCTATGATTCTGTGATTCTCATTTGGTATCAGCCATTGATTGAGGTTCTGGGTTGAGCCTGCCACTTTTGGACTCTCGCTTGCTGAGGTGTTCCAGCGAGTGTCTTTGTAGATCTTAGAAAACTATTTCTTGATTTAAGTCGTTGACGTGCTGGCTGATACCCAAACAGGGGATGAGCTGGAGATGTCACTGCCTTAGTCCTTTCACTTGGCCCTGGTAGCCACTTATTAACAGAATGCTTCTGCCTCCTTCATGGTTCTAAAGTTCTGTTGCTACAGGAGCAGCCAGTTCTGATCAGATTAATTATTGTTTTTTTTTAAAGGAATTAACTTGATAATATAAGATGGGGACAAAGTCTGAACTTTTCAGCAGCCTAGTGTCACTTTTGATGGACATCATAGGACAGTTTACTACAACCCTAAAGAGACAATTTCTCTTGAGTTTGCTAACTTAGGAATGAATTAGATCATATACTTTTTCTAAAGAAGATCTCAGATTAAATGTCCAGCATATTCACGATCCATTTCTTCTCATATCTGCAGCTCTCTACGTGATTTCTTTCAAGTAGCACCCTGATTTCAGTCCGAAACTCTCCCAGGGATTTTTTTAATTTTATTGTTGAGTGTGTTTTTTTGTAACACAAAATTATAGAGTTCAAAAATGCCACATTGTTGTTTTCTGTCTAGTCAATGCACTGGGCTGTCAAAGGCAAAAAAGAGCCAATGCTGGAAGCTCCTGATTTACCTCTTAACAATAAGAAGGCTGGTGATTGTTTCCAGAAGGAAGAACACAACCATGGAGAATTGTTAGATGACAAAAAGGAGCTGGAAGGTTTTGCTCCCTCTGATGATATCTCACCAAAGAGCCCTGGTTCTCCTGGTAAGGGATCTGTGACATGAGAATTTTTGCTGCTAATTTACTGGGTGGAAGCATGCTGGCAAAGTACGCAGCCTCCTTACTTCAGATTTGAGAATTTACTTTTGTCTCAGATATTTTTTTCTGATCCGTGTGAGCAATATAATCTCTGTGCAATATAATATCTGATTGGCCTACACTGCAAATACAAGAAATTGTAGACTAGAGAATGTACAGATCTTATCTCTAGCCCATGCAGGGCATGAAATAATTTCTGTCATAAATCAATAATGCCATAATGTTCATGTCTTTCCTAGCAGTGCCTCTCAGGCTCCTTCTACACTATCATATAATCCAGATTATCAAAGCAGACAATTCAGTTTAACTGATTTAAACTGGATTATAGCCACCCTGAGTCCCCCCCCCCCGGGGGGGGGTTTGAGAAGGGCGGGATCCAAATATCCGAAATAATAATAATAATAATAATAATAATAATAATAATAATTATTATTATTATATGAGTCTACACTGTGATATACTCCAGTTCCAAGCAGATTATCTGGATTTTACATGGCAGTGTAGAAGGGGCCCAGTTCACAAATTCCAGATCACTGTATGAAGACAGTAGGATTCAGTGGTAATTGGCACATGTTAATGAAAAATTGCTGATCCTATGGGACTTTGATATTGTCATATTTACAATTTTCAGACTGGATAGAATGTAGATTAGCTTGGGATCTTCAAGGGATGTTTATTTATTTATTTATTTATTTATTTATTTATTTATTTATTTACAGCATTTCTACCCCACTTTTCTCACCCCCGCAGGGGGACTCAGAGCGCCTAACAATGGCAAAGTTTTGATGCTGCAATAACTACAATTATAAAAGCAAAATAAAATCATACAATATAATACATTAAAACAACATTAGTTATCCAATCATAATGGCATTTCCATTATAACAATCGTCTGGTCCAATTCACTGTTCAGGTGCCGTTATATCTATTAGCCAAAAGTCTGGTTCCACAACCACGTTTTCAGTTTTCTTCTGAAAGAAAGGAGGGAGGATGCCGATCTAATTTTCCTGGGGAGCAAATTCCACAGGCGGAGGGGTCACCACCGAGAAGGCTCTGTCCCTCGTCCCCACCAGCCGCGTTTGCGAATCTGGTGAGACCGAGAGCAGGACCTCCCTGGCAGATCTTAGACTACGAGGCAGAACATAGAGGAAGATACGTTTGGACAAGTAAGCTGGGCCGGAGTCGTATATTGAAAAACTTTGTGTATGTTGGGCAAGTCCAGGACCAGATTGAGTGACGTGCACATCCTAATGGTCCCAGTTCTTCCTTCCCTCTCAAATACAAGCAGTCCCTGAGTTACAACATCCGACTTACAAACAACCCATAGTCAAGAATAGGAGTTATACAACGGGAAGTGAGGTGAAATCGACCCCTCAGAAATGAAATTCATTCCTGAAAGAGTTATGGGGAAAAAAAGCTTTGTCACCAATCCATGAGGTCACGAAGAGTCGGAGACGACTGAACGAATGAACAACAACACCAATCCTTGCTTCCACAACAAGCCAAATTTTTCAAAATCCAATTATCACAGAGACAGGAAGTGAGGTGAAATCTTCTAAACAGGGGCACAGACATCAAAACAAATGCCGCAGGGGTGTTAACCCTTCCATTTGCTACTCAAAGCTAAGATGATAGATAGATAGATAGATAGATAGATAGATAGATAGATAGATAGATAGATAGATAGGCTGGAGATACACTTCAAGATGCACCTGTTCTGACTTACAAACAAATTCAACTTAGGAACAAATGTAAAAATAATGATCTTGTTTGTAGCTTGGGGACTGCCTGTACATAGTTTCTCCTACAGCAGAGTTGGGGCAATTATGGAGCTCATGGGCTGTATATGGCTTCCTGGGTCTCTTGCATTGTATCTGGAACAATCTCAGAGCTTCCCCATTTAAAATGTTTTCTGGTAAAAAAAAATGAGAGCCATCCTTCTAACGGCTGTGGAGCCAGTTGTTTCTGTATCAAAAGAAATTTTATTTCATTTTTACAGTTCTGTAAGATTGATTCTTTCCCCCTCTTCTTCATCTCCTCTCTTTGTTTCCCTATAGGATTTTCTGATCTAAACTGTTGGCATTTACGTTTCCGCTGGTCGGGCGATACTCCATCTGAACTCCTGCGCAAATTCAGGAACTATGAAATATGAAGCAGAGGACGCAATAATGTGTAGATGACCAAATAAGTGTTGAACCTCGTGTTCACCATTTCAGTATTTTTGTATATGTTTATGCCAACAAATATTACTTTTCCATTATATAGTTTTGTAATCGTTGCCTTGTGAAAGATTGCCATATCAAAGATTGCTTCTGTTGTGAACTTTAGCTCTATATTTATTCTTTACTAGCATACCTAATATATGGATCGTGCCTTTTAGCAACTTTTCATTGCAGTTCACATTTATCATATACATGATTTATTCATTGAGGCCAGAAAAGAACTTACAAAGCAGCCTGTAGACTTTTTCTCGTGCTATATTCCTTCCATCATCATCATCATCATCATCATCATCATCATCATCATTATCATCATCTTTAATTACTTTAATTACTTATTAATTGCCCTCCATCCGAGATGCTCCAGGCGATTTACATTGCATTAATTACACAGGATAAAACACATACATACAAATATTAAAATTAACATGGGTCAAATGCTCTAGTAAAAAGCCAGGTCTTAAGTGCTAGGATAAAATGCCCTAAGTCATGCATGGCTCTCAAATAGGGAGGCAAGGAATTCCATAAGGCAGGGGCAGAAACAGAGAAGGCCCTGCGTCTGGTGCTTTCCAAGTGCACTTCCCTAGGACCCGGTATATAGAGCAGATCGCGTTGGAATAGTCGTGGCGACCTCCGATGATGGTCTTTGGCTCTTCACGTCTGTCAGCGCTTCTACACTGCCATATAAAATCTTCTGCTTTGAACTGGATTATATGGCAGTGTAGATTCATATAATCCAATTCAAAGCAGATAATGTGGACTATCTGCTTTGATAATCTGTATTATATGGCAGTGTAGAAGGAGCCTTAGTCACCCAAATACTCTTAAATGATAAGTTGCCAGATATCTCTAATTGTGCAAATGCTGAAAAATTGCGGATGATGATGATGATGATGATGATAATAATAAAACTTTATTTATACCCTGCGACCATCTCCCCAAGGGGACTAGGGACGGCTTACATGAGGCCAAGCCTAACAACACATCAGTAAAAACAAAACGGCAAGCAAATAAAACAGTACAATTAATATAACTTACATATAAACAATAGCACACAGAATTTAAAACCTTATGGCCAGGCCAGATGTAATAAATTAATTTTTTAAAAAATAAACACTGGGTGTGAACAGAAGTAGGATGTGTCTAAGCAGGAGGGTTTTAAAGGAAATGTAGGGAGAGCAACCCAATGGGTAGTTTTGCAGGGAATTGGTCAGAGCAGGGCATTGTTTCCTTTATTCAGGGAAGGCACACTGGAACAGCCACATTTTCAGGCTCCTCCTAAAGACTGCCAATGTGGGGGCATGCCTGATATCCTTGGGGAGTGAGTTCCAGGGTTGGGGGGATCACCTTAGATAAGGCCCTCTCCCTTGTCCCCACCAATCACGCCTGCGAAGCGGGGCGGGAGTGAGAGCTGGGCCTCTCCAGATGATCGAAGAGATTGCGTGGGTTCGTACACCAAAATGCGGCCACGCAGGCAGGCGGGTCCCAAATCGTTCAGGGCTTTGTAGGTAAGAACCTGCACCTTGAATTGGGACTGGAAAATGAACGGCAGCCCATGGAGATCCTTAAACAGGGGGGTTGACTGCTCCCTGTAAGTTGTCCAGTTAGTAACCTGGCTGCTGCCCGTTGGATCAATTAAAATTTCTGAGCCGTCTTCAAGGGCAGCCCCACGTAGAGTGCATTACCGTATTCCAATCTGGAGGTGACTAAGGCGTGGACCACCATGGCCAGATTTTGTGTGATAAAACCTATATAAATAAAAATGTAATGTTCATTTGTGGGATTGACATAACTCAAAAACCACTGGACTAATTGAGACCAAATTTGGACACAATACACCTATCAGGCCAACAAGTGACCATCACTCATAAAAATACTGAAAAACACAGCAGAAAAGACTTAAAAAGCCCAAAAGAAATCATTACAATGTATGCACAAAACCACATATATACACAAGCTCACATATATACACATAGTGATGAGATGCCACATAACACCAATCTTACTGCAGCTGCATTGGTTACCAATTGAGCACCAGATCACTTTCAAAGTGATGGTACTCACCTTTAAGGCCTTGCATGGTCTGGGGCCAATGTACCTGAGGGACCGTCTCACCCCCTACCAACCCCAGAGATCCCTCCGTTCTGAGGACCAAGATCTATTGGAAATTCCCAGTGTCAAGACCTTGCGTCTAACAGCAACCAGACGCAGAGCCTTTACAGCAGTGGCACCATCACTCTGCCACCTGACGTCCGTGCCTTGCGGGACTTATCAGCTTTTCGCAGGGCATGTAAGACATATCTGTTTCGACAGGCCTTTGATCTCTGATATTGCTGTTTTTAAATTGTTTTAAATTGTTTTTAAATTGTGTTCGATTTTAGCCTGTTCTTGTAAGCCGCTCTGAGCCCCAAGGGAGTGGCGGCATATAAGTTTGAATAATAAATAAATAAATATGCACAAACACCGAACTTGGAAGACAATCTTACTTGGGCAACGAGGGATTGCCTAAGTAAGTAAGTACACAAACATACACACACATACACACATATATATACACAAACACATATACACAGATTGGGCCACAGCAACGCGTGGCAGGCGACGGCTAGTTCCAAAATAAAAAAGAACACCAAATGCAGGAAAAAATGACAGATTTTATTAAAAATGTGCCAAATGTTTGTTTCTCGGATGTTTTGATCATTTTTTCTTCACATAATTGCCTGTTGTATAGTCTTCTCTGTTTGCTCTACTATATTGAGCTACTGAAAATATTTAAGTGTATCTATTATTGCAGAGTAGGGACTATATATGTTCAGTTCAAGCTAGGGGGTTTAGAATTTCAATAGGAGATCGAATTAAATGAAAACCAGCCATTATTTACTATGGAGCCTTGAGCAGTATGCTCATTGTTACCACTAGCAATAGTAATACTCTACTTCCCATCAAGCCTGACTATGATGGCAAGAGCTGATGGGTGTTGCCAGGCCCCTAGCCAGGATTTTGATTCGAGGGGGGGGGGGGGAGTTTGGTTCGGGAGGGGGGATGAGTCTGAGTCTGTTTGGTTGTGCATTTAAGTAATCAGATCTAATTTGCCAAATAGTCACTGTTGAATGTTTTTATGTTGAATGTTTTTATATTGTGAAATGCTATTTTAAATTGTAAGTAGCTCGGAGCACCTTGGTGGAGAGCGACTAATTAAGAAATAAAGTGAAGTGAGTGAGAGAGGATCTACTCTAGAAACCTTTTGTATTGTTATCCCAATACCCCCATGCATATGGGATATATTGAGCATGGTGATCAGATCATGATATGAATAAACATAACAGTTTAAATAATGCACCAGTAAGGCCTTCTCGAGGACCACCATGAGAATTTGGGGGGGGGGGGGCTGAAGCCTCTCAAGCCCCCCCCCAGCTACATGCCAGCCTGAGCGAGACACATGTCCCACATCTTCTCTGTACAAGATCCAAACAATGTCATTAACGACATGTATGAAAACAAAGGTAGCACTTTATATCCTATACCCCATTCGACTGATGAAGCGGGAAAAGAGACGGCTAGAGGGCGTGTGGTGAGAACTCCATGACGGAGCATCGAGATCAGCTTATTGAGGCATTTAGGGAGTCCTATGAGCATGCTATCACCGAGGCAAAGTGCGTATATTATGCTTCTTTGATAGTGTCTGCTAGCTCACGCCCGGCAAAATTGTTCAAAATAATTTGATCTCTAACGACGGTTCCTATCGTCCCAAAAAGTGGTGATCAGGCCCCTTCAGCCGAGGTTTTTCAGAGCTATTTTTCAGACAAGATCTTGCTACTTCGCCGGTACCTCCCCGCCACAATTGATACAGTGAGAGAACTTGAGACTCCGTGGCCACTTGCTGGGCCCGTCCTCAACCGGTTCATCCTGCTGGACGCAGAGGCTGTCAATAGGCTCATAGCTGTAGCTAGACTGACCACTTGCTCCCTCGATCCGTGTCCCTCTTGGTTGGTGAAATCCTGCTTGGAGGGATTATGTGACCCTCTGTTGAAGATTATAAACAGCTCCCTTGAGCAAGGAGTTTAAAAGAGGCGGTGGTCTCTCCCCTGCTGAAGTAACCAGACTTAGATTGTTCGGTTCCCTCCAGTTACCACCCAGTTTCGAATCTCTCGTTCCTGGGAAAGGTGATTGAGAGGGCAGCAGCGGAGCAGTTGCAGCAATTCCTAGACGACACAGCTGGACTAGATCCCTTCCAGTGCGGCTTCCGTGCGGGGCACGGGACAGAGACTGTGCTGGTCTCCATCACGGATCACCTTCGATGCCAGCTTGACCAGGGCGGGTCGGCGCTGCTTGTGTTATTAGATCTCCCAGCAGCATTTGACACAGTCAATCACAATCTTTTGACCCACCACCTTGCTGCTGTTGGAGTCAGGGGGACAGCTTTAAATTGGCTGTCCTCCTTTCTTCACAACCGTGGTCAACGAGTGGAGAGGGGAGGCCTGGTCTCTGAGAGGTCCCCTCTATCCTGTGGGGTTCCTCAGGGGGCCATTCTCTCCCCTCTGTTGTTTATTTATATGCGACCACTTGCTCAGCTGGTTCAAGGTTTTGGGCTTGAGTGTTATCAGTACACCGATGACACTCAGCTGGTGCTGAAGATGGAAAGCCGACCGGACTCTGTACCCGATTATTTCCATCAGTGCCTCGAGGCCGTTACTGGATGGCTGCGTGCCAGCAGGTTGAGGGTGAATCCAGCAAAGATGGAGATCCTATGGCTGGGTCAACCCCGGGCAGTGGGGATATCCAGCTGCCTACCCTGGATGGCGAGGCGCTACGCCCGTCATCATTGGTAAAGAGTCTGGGAGTCCTTTTGGACCCTCTGCTGACGATGGAGGCCGTTAGCAGAACCACCTTTTTTCATCTGCGGCAGGCCAGACGGCTGGCCCCCTACCTGTCCAGGGACGACCTAGCTACGGTGATCCAGGCTACGGTCATCTCAAGACTGGACTACTGTAACGCCCTCTACATTGGCCTTCCTCTGTCGGTGATCCGGAAGCTCAAGTTGGTACAAAATGCAGCTGCTCGGCTTCTTGCGGGAATTCCGATGAGATGCCACATAACACCAATCTTACTACAGCTGCATTGGTTACCAATTGAGCACCGGATCACTTTCAAAGTGATGGTACTCACCTTTAAGGCCTTGCATGGTCTGGGGCCGATGTACCTGAGGGACCGCCTCACCCCCTACCAACCCCAGAGATCCCTCCGTTCTGAGGACCAAGATCTATTGGAAATTCCCAGTGTCAAGACCTTGCGTCTAACAGCAACCAGGCGCAGAGCCTTTACAGCAGTGGCACCATCACTCTGGAATACTCTGAACAGCGGTAGAATGTATCTAAGCAGGAGGGTTTTAAAGGAAATGTAGGGAGAGCAACCCAACGGGTAGTTTTGCAGGGAATTGGTCAGAGCAGGGCATTGTTTTCTTTATTCAGGGAAGGCGCACTGGAACAGCCACGTTTTCAGGCTCCTTCTAAAGACTGCCAATGTGGGGTCTTGCCTGATATCCTTGGGGAGTGAGTTCCAGGGTCGGGGGTCACCATAGATTTGTCAGGGGTGATTTGAATGCAATATTCCTGCTTCTTGGCAGGGGGTTGGACTGGATGGCCCATGAGGTCTCTTCCAACTCTTTGATTCTATGATTCTAAGGCCCACTCCCTCGTCCCCACCAATCACGCCTGCGAAGGGGGCGGGAGTGAGAGCTGGGCCTCTCCAGATGATCGAAGAGATTGCGTGGGTTCGTACACCAAAATGCGGCCACGCAGGCAGATCCATTCTGGGCTTTGTAGGTAAGAACCTGCACCTTGAATTGGGACCGGAAAATGAACGGCAGCCAATGGAGCTCCTTAAACAGGGGGGACTGCTCCCTGTAAGTTGTCCAGTTAGTAACCTGGCTGCTGCCCGTTGGACCAATTAAAATTTCCGAGCCGTCTTCAAGGGCAGCCCCACGTAGAGTGCATTACAGTATTCCAATCTGGAGGTGACTAAGGCGTGGACCACCATGGCCAGATTTTGTGTGATAAAACCTATATAAATAAAAATGTAATGTTCATTTGTGGGATTAACATAACTCAAAAACCACTGGACTAATTGAGACCTGAAGTCCGTGCCTTGCGGGACTTATCAGCTTTCCGCAGGGCATGTAAGACATATCTGTTTCGACAGCCCTTTGATCTTTGATATTGCTGTTTTTAAATTGTTTTTAAATTGTGTTAGATTTTAGCCTGTTCTTGTAAGCTGCTCCGAGCCCTAGGGGAGTGGCGGCATATAAGTTTGAATAATAAATAAATAAATAATGAAAAATGAGAGACCAGCACATCTACAACCCAAATTATGTACATCCAGTAAAATTCAGTGGTTTGTGTACTGGGCTACAACTTTGGAGAAAGGGTTTTAAGTCCTTTCTATTATATTGTGTTTTGTGGCTTCGGCCTGTGTAAGCCGCATCAAGTCCTTCGGGAGATGCTAGCGGGGTACAAATAAAGTTAATAATAATAATAATAATAATAAGCTATGCTCAAATAGCTCTGTATGTGTTTGTGAATAAAGGGGGAAATGAAAACTAAGAATTGTATTTAATTATGGACTGAAGAACATCACCCATGAATATGGAACTCTTACCAGACCTCAGAGCAAATGCTTTGGGAATTTCCTTCAGATATCGCTCATATGTTATAAAAATTGTACTGCTAACTTATATGGATACTTCGAATGCAAAACTATGTAGCCATGATTCTTTGTCCTATTTTGAGTGGCTTCATTTTTTTTAAATAAAGTCATTTTTTGCCTTATAATCTGAATTTTGTCTATTTTTGTTTTTCCTCAATAAAATAAAATTTAATAATAATAATAATAATAATAATAATAATAATAATAATTTATTTGTAGACCACCCTATCTCCCCAAAGGGACTCAATGATTAGAGTTAATCACAACAGGGAAAGGAGGCAATTCTGGAAAAAAAACACCCAAGTTTCTACTGTAGATCCCTTATAGGCAATAAACATTTCTTTCTTTAGTTATGTGATATATCAAATGGTATTAGTATAGTAGCTGGAAAAGCAAAATGTCTAAGCTGGTCTTCAGTAAACTGTGTTTCACTGCCAAAATAGAAACTAGCAATGGATTTCCTCCTTAGCTTTTAGGAAGCCCATACCTCTTATCCTTGTCCCTTCGTGGCTGGATGGATGGTGAAATGGATACACCAACTTTCTTTGGTAAACAGCTCCCACATAAGTACTTATATTTAGAATATGTTTAATATTCACACAAAATGAACAATATTACAAGAGGGTTAAACCCAACATTGTTCTAGTGATTGACACCCCTGCCTTCTGATTTCTCCAGTACCTGAAAAGGATGGGATTGGTTTTAGATGCTCCAGGTCTGTAATTCATGGTGGGGGTCGCAGTGTGAAGGGAAGCCTACTACTCATATTTCTATTCGATTCTGCTATTGTGCCTGTAAAATCCAGCTATTTTGAATCCTATGCTGGGAAAAGGCAGGATATTTATTACATACTATTACATACATACATACTATTCTGATCATCAGGCTTTCGTTCAGGTCATGGGACAGAGACTGTCTTGGTAGCTATTACTGACGAAATTCGTCGTCAGTTAGACCGAGGCGGATCAGCGCTATTGGTACTCT